CATGAATAGTGAACTGTGATTTCATACTTGAATACTTAAGGAAGTGAAACAATGAAAAATAAATTTTTACCTAACCAAATTGCAAATGTTTAGATTAAAAACACTCAATACTTATATATTTAACACTTATGCCAAAAGATGGCACAATTATTCCAGAAAGTGGCTGGAAGTAGATATATGAACCTTGAAGACTTGAGTGGTGGAAACCATTGAGACACTCAAATGCAACTGAAAGGTCAGACATAAGCACATGAAACAGTGCCTCTGAAAAACGCCTAGATATCTACTTTTGAAGAACTCAGCGAATGAAAACCATGTGGAGCAGAGTTTACTCTGACACATGTAGAGTGCTATGCATTGGAATAAAGTGCACATCAATTGTAATGAGTACCAGGAGCTTTAACATGCATGTGTGGGGACACATATCATACCACTGGTAGGAACTTTGCTTAAAATATTGATTAAAAAATGCAGAGAAAGACTGATGAAGAAAAAAGACTTAATATGTCATTATACTGGCAAAACCATAGGAAATTAATTTTCTATAGTAGGAGAATACATAAACAATTATGAATAGTGCATTTCCGTGATGGATTATCAATCAACTCTTTAAAAAAGGATAGTTATAAGCAGTCATTTAAGGCAAGAGAAGACACCTTTGCCATTCAAATTGTGTAAGTAATGTTAGCCTTGAAAGACACTGATAGATGGAAGAAAAAGATATATAGCTTCTTTATATTTCTAGGATTAAAAGAGTGGACTAAAATAGGACAGTGAGTTTTACTGCCAAAACATAAATCCAGAAGTGCACATCATTGTGTAGCGATACTAACCAAAACCAGAGTTAAGATAAGCAATATAGTTTAATATTTTATGGGAATTAATAATAGATATGGATGTTGGATTAAACCACAGCCTAAATATTAAATTTTGTACAATAACTTCAACAACCATAAAATTTCCTGATGGTAAAATGACAGATTATGACATTTGATTGTTTGATTATATGTGAATGAGAAAATGCCCATAAAACTTACGAATAGCATATTTACTTTCTATTAATACAAGCTTGATGATGAACTATATTTTCAGGATAATGCTATGTGCTTTATTTGTGGACTGGCCAATAAAGTTCCTACTCTCCCTGATTTGTTTCTGAGATATTCTCCTCATCTCATGAATGGATTATTTACTCTACGGTGCAGGGAAGAAAATGTAGTGCCAGGACTTCAGCATAGATGATGGTTTTTACCCCCTTCCTCATTAATATCCTCTTGGTAAAAAGAATTCATGGTTTTAATATGCTCTTTATTTTATATATGAAGGCGAAACAGTGTGTAAACTTTACTGCAGTATTTCACATCTCCTTTTTTCTTTTAGGAGACAGACAGGAGATTATAAAAGAGGAGCTAAATTTTGAAACCTGTTGGGACCAAGAACCTCCAGATGCCCCTTGTCACATCTCAGGAGAGTCTCCTCCTCAGAGTTCTTTGAGTGACTTCTTTGGTGAGGATGAACAAAAATGCTTTGGAAAAGGAGACTATATCCCTAAGGTACAGGGATACCACCAAGGTGAGAAGAGAAGGGCAAGAGTTTCTAGGAAACAACTAGACCACCATTTGCCTAATTCACACAAAAGAGATCTGTCTGTGCTACGGCTGGAGCAGAAGCATGAGGCCCACCAGAAAGACCAGCTGAACCCACCAGGCAACCAGAAGCTCTCCACTTACACAGAGTGTGGGAAGACCTATAGGAATTCTCAGCTTTTGTTTCATCAGAGAACTCATACTGGAAAAATGTCTTTTCAGTGCCCTACCTGCAAGAAAGTTTTTCAGCAGAGGTCAGGTTTTGTGAAGCATCAGAGAGTCCACATAGGGGAGAAGCCTTACAAGTGTGATTACTGTGGGAAAGGTTTCAAACACTTTTCTGGATTACAACAGCATGAGAAAATCCACACAGGAGAGAAACCCTATAAATGTCCCCTCTGTGAAAAGAGTTTCATTAAGAGATCTAACTTAAATACACACCAGCGTGTCCATACTGGAGAAAAACCATATAAATGTCCTCTATGTGAAAAGAGTTTCTTTTACAGATCCCACTTTAATAGACACCAGCAGATGCATACAGGAGAGAGACCCTATAAATGTCGTTTCTGTGAAAAGAATTTCTTTCAAAGGTACTGTTTGACTAAACACCAGCTGATTCACACAGGAGAGAAATCCTATAAATGTCCTCTCTGTGAAAAAAGTTTTATTTACAGGTCCAACTTCAACAGACACCAACAGATCCACACAGGCAAGGAAATCCTATAAATGTCCTGTGCGAGAAAACTTTCATTGACATGTCAATCTTTTTAGAATCCACTAGGTCCACAAAGGAGAAAAACATAAATGTCCCCTCTGTGGAAAGAATTTAATTCACAAGTCTAATTTTATTTGACATCAGAGAGTCCACATAATAGAGAACCCTTTAAAAAGTTCCTGCTGTGGGTAAAGTTTCAGCAGGAGTTAAAGTTTTGACAAATATCAGAGATCCCATTTGGGGAGGAAGCCCTCTCCATAGCCAGACCCTTAGCCCTTGTCTCTATGCAGTGACAAATACTGAGCTTTTGGAATCACCTACTGAATTACATCTATCTTTGTCTATTTTTATAGATTGAAAAGGACAAACCTACAATTGTTTTTGAACTTGGAAGTTGGGTTGAGTTCTTGAAGTAAATTTCATGCTTGCTTAATGTTTTCTGACAGAGCAACAGTAATGACATCAGCTCAGCCCTTTATTACTAGAATTCCAGAATATGTCTTTCTGTTATAAAGTGCAATCAGATGTTAAAGTACTGGAGAGCTAGTGTGTACATGTGTGCTCTTTTACATGTAGGTGTAGTGTGAACTTGACATGCCCTTTGTTCAGATAAACTCGGTAGACTCACTGCTCCACTCATTTGTTTCTGGAATGTGCAGTGTGTTGATACACATTGAAAATGTGTGAGTAATTCTCCATATTTCCAAGTATGTTGATGATGTCCTTCTCCAAGAAATAGCTTATCCCTTGCCTTCTGAAAATGAGGACTTGAACCACTTATTGCAGAAGATCAAGGAGTACAGCCTTCAGTATGGATTGCTTCTCAATGTCAAGAAAACAAAGATTCTTACCACTGGACCAGTAGGCAGTATCATGATGGATGGAGAGGAGATTGAAACTGTCAACAGCTTCACCTTGCTTGGATCCAGAATTAACACCCTTGGTATGAGCACTCAGGAAATAAGGAGACATACTGCACTGGGAAAATCTGCAGTTAGGGACCTCTCCAAATTATTGAGGAATAATGATAACTGTTTGAAGACTAAGATGCATCTGATTCAGGCCATACTCTTTTTTATTATTTGCCATGAATCTAAAAGCTGGACAGTGAATAAGGATGACAGAAAAAGAATTTATACATTGAGCTGTGGTGTTGGAGAAGAGCCCCGAACATCCTTTGAATGGCCAAGAGAACAAATATGTCTTGGAGAAGGTGCACTTGGAGTCCTCTTTGGAGTCAAGAATGATGAGGCTTCGCCTCACATAATTTGGGAATGTAGTTATGAGGGGGTATTCCTTGGAGGAGGACATGATGATAGGAAGGGTGGAGGATTGGTAAAGGAGAGGAAGACCCTCAACCAGGTGGATAGACAAGGTGACTTGCAATGGGTTCTAGTGTCAGGAAGTTATGAGGATGGCACAAGATAGGAAAGGATTTGGATCTTTTGTTCATAGGGTCACTATGAGTCGTACTTGAGTCAGTGGCACCTAACAACAATAACAAACATATGCCCAAAATATGTGATCCTAAGTGCTGTTATCTTTGCCTTCAAGGAGCATTCTGGTTGCAGTTTCTCCAAGACACCTCTGTTTATTCTTTTGACAGTTTATTCAGTACACTTCTTCAACACTACAACTCAGTGACATAATTTCATCTGTCACCCTTATTCATTTTCTTGCTCTCAGATGCATAGGACTTGATTGAAAAGACCATGGTCTGCATCAGGATCATTTTAGTGTTCAAACTGGTATCATTGCTCCTCAATAATTTAGAGAGGGAAGTCCCTGACTACAGACTTTCTCCGTGCATTAAGTTTTCTGTCTGTCAAGGGTGTTATTTGTGGATCCATGTAAGATGAAGTAGTTGACAACTCCAATCTTTTCTCCATCTCTCATAATGCTAAATATCGGTCCAGTGGTGAGAATTTTTTGTTTTCTTGATGTTGAGATGCAATCCATATGAAGGAGGTACTCTCACTGGTCTTCTGCAGGAAGCAGTTCAAGTCCTCACCTTCAACAAAGAATGCTTGCCATCTTTATAATATAGGTTGATAAGTCTTCTTCCAATCCTGATGACACATTCTTCTCTATAGAATTCAACTTCTCTAAAAAGTTGTTCAACATAACAGGTTGAATAGGTATGGAGAGAGTATACCATCTTGACAGACGACTTTCTTAATTTTAATCATTGTCGAATAGGCTAACCAGTTGTTTGTTGTTTTTGTTATGAGAAATGAAGTGGACTACAACTCATACTGACCATATGAACATGGCCCTATCCTGAGCCAATCTTTCTGTCTTAAGATCATATTTGGTTCTTGTAGACTTATTAAGCCTGAATTTGAACTTGTAGCTGAATAATTACTGATGGTCTATCCATATGCATACAAGGAAGTCCAGTGAATACCATCATCATTCAAATATATGCACCAACAACCAGAGCCAAAGAGGAGGAAATAGAAGATTTTCTACCAACTTTTACAGTCAGAGATTGATCAAACATGCAATCAAGATACATTAATAATAATGGGTGACTCGAATACAAAAGTTGGAAATAGATAAGAAAGATCAGCAGTTGGAAAACACAGACTTGATGATAGAAATGAAGCTGAAGATAGAAAGAATGCTACACAAGCAATGACTTCTTCATTGCAAATACATTTTATAAGAAACACAAACACAGGATATACACATGGATTTCACCTGATGGTATGCATAGGAATCAGTTTGATTACATCTGTGGAAAGAATTGCTGGAGAAGCTCAATATCAGCTGTGAAAACTAGGCCAGGCTGATTGTAGAACAGACCACCAACTACTGATATGCAAGTTCAAGCTGAAGCTGAGGAAAATTAAATTGAGTTCACAGGAACCAAAATTTGACATTGTGTCTATCCCACCTGAATTTCAAAACCATCTCAGAAACAGCTTTGAGGCCTTGGACATTAGTGAGCGAAGACCTGACGAGCTGTGGGTGGATATCAAGAATATCATCAAGGAAGAATGCAAAAGATCATTACAAAGGCAGAGAAGGAAGACAAGACCAAGATGGATGTCAGAAGAAACTCTAAATAATGCACTGGAGGGCCAAGAAGCCGAATTAAAGGGAAGAAATCAAGGTATTAAGGAATTGAACAGAAGATTTCAGAGGGCAGCAAGGGAAGACAAAGTATTACAATGAAATGTGCAATGAGCTGGAGTCAGAAAATCAAAGGAGCCGAACTCACTCAGCATTTCTTATGCTCAAGGAACTCAAGGAACTGAAGAACAAATTCAAACCTCAAGTTGCAATATTTAAGGATGCTTTGGGCAGAATATGGAATGATGCAGGAAACATTAAAAGAAGATGGTAAGAGGATACAGAGTCACTGTACCAAAAGGAATTGGTGGACACAGAAGAATTTCATGAAACAACATATGAGCAAGAGCCCATGGTGATGAAGTTCAAGCTGCTCTGAAAGAATTGGCAAAAAACAATGCCCCAGGAATTTATGGCATACCGATTGACATATTCCAACAAACAGATGCTGGCCTGGATGTGCTCACCAAGTTGTGCCAAGAAATTTGGAGGACAACCATCTGGCCTATTGACTGGAAGAGAGCTATATTTGTTCCTATTCCAAAGAAGGGTGATTCGACAGAGTGTGGAAATTACCGAACAGTATCATTGAAATCGCATGCAAGCAAGGTTCTGCTGAAGATTATCCAAAAATGACGGGAACAGCACATCAACAGAGAACCACCTGAAGTGCAAGCTGGATTTGGAAAAGGTCATGGCACTAGGGATATTATAGCTAATGTTAGATGGATCTTGGCTGAAAGCAGAGAGTACCAGAGAAATGTCTTATCTGAGTTTCATTGACTATGCAAAGGCATTTGACTGGGTGGATCTCAACAAACTATGGCTGACTTTGAGAGGAATGGGAATCCCAGAACACTTGATTGTGCTTATGCGAAACTTATACTTGGACCATGAGACAGTCATCAGAACAGAGCAAGGAAATATTGCATGGTTCAAAATTGGGAAGGGTGTGCATCAACGATGTGTCCTATCTCCATCTTTTCAATCTGTATGCAGAACAGATTATCCAGGAGGCTGGGCTCTATGAGGAGAAGTGTGGGGTCAGGATTGGAAGTAGACTTATCAACAATCTACATTATGCAAATAATACAACCCTGCTTGCTGAAACTGAGGAGGACCTGAAGCATTTGCTGCAGAAGGTCAAATATTGCATCTTTCACTATGGATTGAAACTCATTGTCAAGAAAAAGATTCTCACCACTGGGCCAACTGGCAGCATCATGACAGATGGTAAAAAGATTGAGATTGTTGACAGCTTTTGGTACCAGCAGCCAGGAAATTAAAAGATTAATTGCATTGGAAAAGTCTGCTGTCAGAGACCTCTCCAAGTTACTGAGGAGCAATGATGTCAGTTTGGAGACTAAGGTGCACCTGATACAGGAAATGGTCTTTGTCATTACTTGGTATGCTTCAGAGAGCTGGCCAATAACTAGTGATGATAAAAGGAGAGTTGATGCCTTTGAGTTTTGGTGCTGGAGAAGAGTATTGAATATACCATGGACTACTAGGAGAACGGAGCTCTGTCTAACTTACTTTGGACATGTTGTGAGGAGAGACCAGTCCTTGGAGAGGGACATCATGCTTGGGAGGGTGGAGGGACAGCGCAGGAGAGGAAGGCTCTCTATGAGGTGGATTGATTCAGTGACTGGGGTAATTGTGATGGGAGTGTCAGAGACAGTGCGATTGGCACAGGACAGAGCGGAGTTTAGGGCTGTTGTACATAGGGTCGCTGTGAGTTGCAGGCGACTCGACGGCACATAACAACAACAACAACTAGGAGAACAAACAAGTTCATCTTGAGAGGGTGAAGCCAGGCTGCTCCTTGGAGGCAAAGATTCTAAAGCTTCATCTGACATACTTTGGACATGTTGCAAGAAGGGACCAGTCCTTGGAGAGGGATGCCATGCTTGGGAGGGTGGAAGGACAGTGCAGGAGGAGAAGACCCTTGATGAGATGGATTGATTCCATCACTGGGGTAATGGGGTTAGGTGTGTCGCAGACAATGAGAGTGGCAAGGGATACAGCAGGGTTTAGGGCTATTGTCCATAGAATTGCTATGAGGCACAAGTGACTCGGCACATAACAACAACATTCCACAGCACCTGGCCTGGTTTTGACTGCTGATATGGAACTTCTTCAGTGACTCCACAGATGTAATTAGTCTGATTCTTATGCATTCCATAAGATCCGTCCATGTGTAAATTCATCCTTTGTTGTGTTTGTTTTATTTTTTTTTAAAAAAAGCTATTTCCAAGAAATAGTTTTCTGTTTTAAAAAAAAAAAAGCTGTTTCCGATGAATAAATCACTGAATGTGCAGAATTCAGTCATTCTTTTTCCAGCTCTTCTGTCACCAAGTCCATAGTGTCTTACTTGTTTTGTTTTTCAGCTTTTCCATTCTAGTCACTAATCATCATGATTACAACTAGATTGCATGTTCGGTGAGGTTTGAACAGTAAAATTTGGTAGTAGCAATGTTCCATTTTTTCTCTTTTCCTTTAGCTTTTTATGCGTGTATTTGAATAATAGATGTATTAACATGTCTTCCTTGTGAGCATATAGAGAAGACATTATCATTCACAGAATTGTACTTTAGGATATTGTTGTTAGGAGCTATCTAGTTGAATATGACTTATATTGACCCTATGAAAGAAGATATGAATCCTGTCATATCCTATGCCATCCTCACACTTTCTGACACAATAGAGCCAGTTAAAACAGTCTCTATGTCAGTTCAACTGCTTGAGAGTCCTTCTGTCTTTCACAGACCCTCTACCTTTCCAAGCATGATGTCCTTCTCCAAGGAATAGTCTCTTCTAGAAACATGTCCAAAGTATATGAGACCAGACTCTTATGATAATTTGCCTTCCAGGAGCACTCTGGCTGCACTTGCTCTAAAATATATTTTTCTTTGAGCAGTCCATGTGATTGATGTTCAGTACTCTTTCCAACACTACACCTCAAAGGCATCAGTTCTCTTTTGTCATCGTTATTAATTGACCAGCTCTTAAAAGAGGTTTTGGCATTTATTAAATACTTGAGCACTACAACAAGATAAAGGTGAATAATCCAATTGAAAAATGTGCACAGGATATGAACAGACACTTCACCAAGGAAGACATTCAGATGGC